AAGAAACTGTTTTCTCTTTGTGATCTTGTCTGATATCTGTTTTGTGGGCATTAATCCTTTGGCGAAGTGTCTGAGATGTTTGTCCAATGTACATAGCAGACGGACACTTTCGGCACATGATAGCGTAGATTATATTTCTGGATGCGCAGGAATATGTGTTCTTGATCTTATAACTCACTTGGTTAGGTCCAATAATGGTATCAGCAGAATGAATATGTGGACAAAGCTGGCAACGGGGTTTGTTGCAAGGGAAGGTACCAGGGTTGGTATTAGTGTGGTATGTCCTGTGGTTGTTGGTAAGAATCATCTTGAGGTTAGGTGGCTGTCTATAGGAGACTATGGGTCTGTCTCCAAGAGCCTCTTGGAGTTTAGTATCCTATTCCATTATAAGTTGTAGTTTATTGATAATGTGTTGGACAGGATTAAGTTGGGAGCTGTAGGTGATGACAGGTGGTGTTCTATTGTTGGTTTTCTTGGGTCTGTCTTGAAGTAGATGGTTTCTAGGTATTCGTCTGGCTCTTTCAATTTGCTTTTTTATTTCTCCGGGTGGGTAGTTGAGGTTTATAAATGCTTGGTAGAGATCCTGAAGTTTCTGGTCTCTGTCAGTGCCCACTGCTCATTAACAAATATGATCTTGAAATTAGAGAAAGGTTTTTAATCATCAGAGAAGTGAAGTTCTGCAATATCCTTCCAAGAGGAGCAGTGGGACCAAAATTGTAACGGGCTTCAAGACTGCACTTAAATGAGTTTGAGTTTATGGAGGTGATATGATAGGACTGCCTACAATGGTAGGTAGCCAACCTGCAACTGCTAGTAGCAAATATCCCAAATGGCTGGTGATGGGAGACTAGATAGGGAGAGTTCTAAGTTACTAAAGACCGTTCTTTTCCAGGTGTCTGGTGGTGGATTATACCAAAATGCTCGTGGTCTTACTGAGTGCCATATTTGGGATCATAGACTTCCCCCTCTCCTGGTCAGATGGGCAGAGATGCTGGGGAGTTTCTACTTCTCCTTAAACATGGGGCACAAGTAACTTGCAGGTTTAAACTAGTGTAAAGATTGGATTCTCTGTAACTTGAAGTCTTTAAATTATATTTTGAGGACTTCAGTAACTCTCATAGGGTATGTCTACACTACCCTCCTAATTCGAAATAGGAGGGTAATGTAGGCATACCGCAATTGCAAATGAAGCCCGGGATTTGAATTTCCCGGGCTTCATTTGCATAAGCGGGGCTCCGTCATTTTTAAATCCCCGCTCGTTCGAACCCCGTGCCGCGCGGCTACACGGGGCACGAACTAGGTAGTTCGAACTAGGCTTCCTAGTTCGAACTACCGTTACTCCTCTAGACTTAAAGCCTATGGATCTATTAGCTTTAGCACATACTGTATAATACACAATCATTGACAAAAAAATTAATCCTTCCTCATGATAAGGGTGAGCTACCTCACTATTTTGATTAGCGTGCATTACAATGGCAATCAATTCAACATTATAACAACATATTAAATAATGCTTCTACTCTTGTGATAATGCTTCTACATTGAGGGTGAAAAATAAAAGAGGTCATATATCAAGCACTGACACTCGTATCGATGAGACAGAATAGATGACTTCATTAATAACTGATAGCACTGGCAGGTCAGTGACATGGAACAGAATTAAGAGACCTCACACTCCCCACACGTACTCCTTGATAAATATAGGGTAGTGGTAAAACAATCTCTTGTCAAATTAAATACACATCAAATGAAATCTTGATGATGTACATGGAATTAGATATTAAAGCAGTACAAAATGAAGAGACACTATAATCCAGCAACCATGATTTAAATTCTGGTGATTATTGGTATTATTTTAGCTTCAGCAAACCAAATTTCCCTTTTTGAATAAAAATAATAAAAATCCACAGAAGATAACATTGGTCAGTCTCTACATAAACCATTAAACTACACGGAATCACTGCCAAATATAAAATGGAATATTAATACCTCTGTCACATTACTGAATTTTAGGGAAGCAGCCAGATCACTGCTGCACCCATGGGGGGGGGGGGGGGGGGGGGGGGGTGGGGGTAAGGTGTCAAAAGAAGCTTACTTTCTCCTGATTCCATATATGCTATTCATGTAATTGTATAATGTCTGTGTGTGAAGTTATAAGCATGTACTTTGTGTGGATACCAAATGTTTCTCTGTATGTGGTTGAACTATGGGCAAAGCAGCTCAGCCTATGGACATGCTAATGAGCAAGTGTCTATGGAACAATAGCCCTCTCTAGGCCAAGGACACATCTCAAGAATGAAACAAAAGACAGGACTACGCAGCACTTTAAAGACCAACAAGATGGTTTTATTAGGTGATGAGCTTTCATGGGCCAGACCCACTTTCTCAGATCAAATTGTGGAAGAAAATTGGCATGACCATATATACCAAAGGGATGAAATCAAAAAAAGTAAACACATATAAAAAGGACAAATCAAATTTCAGAACAGAGGAGGGATGGGGGAGGGAGGGAGAGATTAATGTCTGTGAGCTAATGATATTAGAGGTGATAATTTGGGAAGCTATCTTTGTAATGGGTAAGATAATTAGCATCTTTGTTGAGGCCCAGATGTAAAGTGTCAAATTTAAGCATGAATGACAGTTCAGAGGTTTCTCTTTGAAGTCTTGTGTTAAAATGTCTTTGAAGCAGGATGCAGGTAGTCAAGTCACTGAGACAATGCCCTGTCAGCAGAGTAAATATGTGGGCAAAGCTGGCAATGGGGTTTGTTGCAAGGGACAGTTCCAGGTTTGGTATTAGTGTGGTATGTCCTGTGGTTGATGGTAAGAATCATCCTGAGGTTAGGTGGTAATCTATAGGCGACTATGGGTCTGTCATCTTTATGGCTGATTTAGAACATTTCCTCAGATCCTGTCCCCTTTTACTCCTTCTCTACTTACGCTACATCGATGACATCTTTATGATCTGGACGCATGGCCAAGAAACACTGGATACATTCCACAGAGACTTTAACAACCTACACCCCACCATCAATCTCAGCCTAGACCATTCTACACAAGAGATCCATTTCCTGGACACCACAGTACAAATCACCAATGGTAAATTAGATACCACTCTCTACAGAAAACCCACTGACTCATATAGTTACCTACATGCCTCTAGCTCCCATCCAGAACACACCATACGATCCATCGTCTATAGCCAAGCCCTTCGATACAACCACATTCTAAAACCCCTCACCTGAGTATGAGGCCCGGGGCCATCTGGGTCATGGATATTGCTGTGGTGTCAGAGGGGTCTGCTCGCAAGGCTTCTGGCTGGCCAGGCAGGCAGCTGATGTGCTCTGTGGCACTGGTTTGTGGCCTATTTGGGAAGGTTTCCAGTCTGAGGGCTGTAAGGAGACCCGAATTTGAGCAATTCCCCCTGAGGAGACACTCTCAGCTGTGCCCAGACCCAGCCCGGTCTGTCACAACCTCCCATCTGAAGGATGGTCTGCAAAGATAAATTCACTAATATTTGAGAGGCATCCAGATACTAAAATGGCAAGCACCAAAGACAACCCTATGAAGTAATAAGGAAAAAATTAAGTCCTTACTTAGGGTACGTCTAGACTACATGCCTCTGTCGCCAGAGGCATGTAGATTAGGCTACCAGACATAGGAAAATGAAGCAGCGATTTAAATAATCTCCGCTTCATTTAAATTTACATGGCTGCCGCACTGATCAGCTGTTTGTCGGCTCAGCGCGATAGTCTGGACACGCGGATGGCGACATCAAGGGTATTTGTCGACCACCCAGGTATACCTCATCCCAGGAGGCATACCTGGGTGGTCGACAAATACCTTTGATGTTAACACCCGCGCATCCAGACTATCACGCTGAGCTGACAAACAGCTGATCAGCTGTTTGTCGGCTCAGCCTGGCAGCCAAGTTTAAATCGCCGCTTCATTTTCCTATGTCTGGTAGCCTAATCTACATGCCTCTGGCGACAGAGGCATGTAGTCTAGACGTACCCTTAGTGTAGAGTTTGGAAGGAGTGCAGCAAATGAGGACTGAGCCAAACATTGAGAAGGATTAAAAGAAATACTAAATGAGTATCTGACTAATTTCCTGAGCGCTGTCCATCCTGTGCACTAAACGAGAAGGAAACACTCAAAAATGGTATTATTAAATGGGAGGCTGTATCTTATGTACAAAAGAGCAGTGTTTAGGCAGAGTCTAACTTGGAAGAAAATCACATTTTCAAGACTTCATGCTTTTTAATTACATTTTTAGCATGGATTATCTCATATAGATAACACTCAGTAGCATAAGGGTGGTGGAGAAGTATAAAAACATTTCTACTGAATTCACTGCATTGAAGTATGACATAAATGTAGCCTTTGCACTCTTCCTGGGCTCCTATCACTCTAAATTTGCACCCTAAAGGGATGTGGTAGAAATGGTGCCATTATCCCACAAAATACGCACACATAGCCAGCTGTAGTGGCAATTGTACAATATACTTCTGATATAAGAAGAGTCCCCAATGGAACTCTCTCCAGAATGGTGTTTCATCACACATAACTCAAAATCGGTCTGCACCTTGTCAGATAAATCTTATCCCTAAAGCATTTCTCACGGAAGATGAAGAGATTTGAAACTCATTCTGAAGTAATCAGCATTAAGGGTATATTTAGTATGCCACATTTGAAGTAGTACAAAATATCATTCAGTAGTGTGAACTGCATCAGTTTCTCCAAAAGCCCTTCATTTTTTTAACACAAAACACTAAAGATGATGCAGTACAGTAAATTTATAGTTGTACATCATCTCTTCCCCCATGATTACTATTGCACATAACTAGGGATAGCAGGCAAATATAATGTGAATGTCTGTAACATATTTCACTTCCATGGTGCTTCCACCTTTACAGGAGACATCAGCTAGGTTGGCATCTGAAACAACATTTATCTCTTCTAAAGTTCCTGTGTCCCTTTATAAAAATGGAATAAGACCTTACCTTTCCCACATACTGGGGATCTGGTCCCAGGTGTTCTTCTAAAACAAAGAACTGGTTCCATACCCATCCACGCTTGGGACGATGGTGAACTTCTGTTTCACCTTCTATGTGTTTGGTTTGATTTCTGGTCACCTTAATGGAGCCATGATGAGCTACTCCATAACACCGCTGCACAAAACAGAGACAAACTAGGACTGGGCAGATACAAGATGTGCTCATAATTCTCATTGTAGGATAACTTTCCAGTTGAAGGTTTCCTTCTCTCTTTTGTTGTTTTCAAATGTAATCCCTTAATAGGTCCCCAAGAAGGAAGGTGAAGCCTGGCTTAGGAAAACAATCCAAAATGTTTTTTTTAGTATGTCCATGGTTTAACTGCCCACTGGGGAAAGGTCACACTGCATTTACATCATGAAGTACTGAGTGGAGAAATTTCTGGTATTTGTTCCGAGGTCTTCACAACAGACTGCTGCAGCCAACCATTTTATACCTAATGGAAAGGGGAAAAATGAAAACCACTTTCACATAACTAAAAACAGCAATTACAGCCTTTCAACCTCAAAAGATGTTACCCCTGCTGTGCTAATTGGGTCTGTCAAAGGGTCCTATACTAATCAACATTTCTTTCCAAACTTTTGTGGAAGTGTTTTCTTATTTTTTTTTAATAAAGCACCTTAAAAGTATATTGTTTCAAAAGTGCATAGAATGTGTGTACTGGAATGACTGGATTAGGGCTGTAAATGAGCAGTCAAGAAGTTGACTACTCGCTTTTCCCACTCCTTGCTGCTTTTGTATCAGTGGTAGCAAGGTGGGGGAATGGTGGATATGAGCCAGTGCTGGGGAGCCAGCTTAAAAGATGGTTCCCCCCAGCACCATCTTAATGGTGCTGCTTGCCCCCACTGTCAGAGGCAGCAGAGGGGAGGAGTGGGCGGTAGGGCAGGCTGCTGCAAAGGAGCAGCCTCTGTTCACGACAGCTGGTTTGGCTGCGGACAGGGGCTGCTGCCACATTAGCCTCTGTTTGTGGTGGCCATGGTTGGCTGTGGACAAGGGCTGCTGGTCCTGGTGTGAGCTGGGACTCAGCAAATTCCGCTCTCACTACATTCTCCTGGCTTTTACTACATTTAAACTGCAGAGCCGCAGTGGTTCTGGCTCTGTCCTGGCTTGCACCGGTCCAGGACTATCCCCACCATACCTCTGCAGTGTAAATGTAGTGGGAGCTAGGCTGTCTGCACATCTGGCTCCTACTACATTTAAACTCCAGAGCTATACCAGGGGTAGCTCCTGGACCAGTACAAGCCAGAACAGAGCACCTTCCCTTATAAACTAATCATGAAGTCAATACAAATTGTTGACTACACAATTGGTCAATTACACGCCTCTTATCGTCCTTAGACTGGATGACTCAATATAGTGTGATATTGAGCCTTTAACCTACAGGTTCCGGGTGACAGAACTAATCCAGGTGAGTAGTAATCAAAAACTGCTAAACACTATCATTGCTACCTGATTGATAGTGTTTAGCAGTTTATGTTAAATGAGTCCTTGGTCTCCATGAACACTCAGATAAACAGAAGTCTAACATTATGAAAACCATCATCATGGATACTGGCAGTTTCAAGAGATAGGCCAAAAACAATCAGTGTGGAGATTCCAGGTTGGAACTGAGGCAAACTGGCAGAACAGCGTGACCAAATCTTACATTAATAGCTCCTGTCCTTTACCTCCTCTGTGATTGCATGAAGGACTTCAGTTTCTGGAACTGTCTGGATATTTCAAAGATATGCACATAAAATTTTTAAAAAGTGAGCATTGTTGCTCTGAAACTTGGGCAGTATTTGGAACTGAACAAGAGAGGCATTTGTTTCCCAGTAATGCCATCCTATTTCTTCCTCACCACAAAGAAGGAAAATCAGCCTTGGGTAAAACAGCAATTTTTAAAATGTAATGGTAGGGAGGAAATACAAAATAAGAAGTCCGACCTTATCTTCTCAGGATCTAATAAAAGGGCATAGTCTTCCTTAATAAGGAGTTTATTCTACTACCAGAACTCCATATCAATAGATAATCTCTGCAGATATTAGACACTCCCAAGGTCTGAAATCACATGTACAAATATTAACTACAGATTGAACCTCTTTGGTCCGGGACTCTCTGGTCCAGCAACATCTGTGGTTCAGCAACACCGTGGATGATGCTGGACTAGTGACCCCTGGACTAGAGAGTCCTAGCAGGGAGCAGCTGGCCATGGAGCAGATGAGCTCCAGCACCAGGACTGCAGAGTCTGGTGGCCCCAGGGCTGCAGAGCCCCAGAAGCTCTGGGGCAGTGGAGCCTGGTACCCTGAGGCCAGCTGCAGACCTAGCCTGGGTGCAGAAGAGCCTGGCGATCTGCTGACAGACCCCAGGAGAGCCCGAAGTCCATCAGCAGAAGGACCAGCCTCCCCTGATCCGGTAAACTCCCTCCTTTGGGATTGGTCATATCCCAAGTATGGTCCAACCTGTAGAGTGTTAGAATTAAACTGTCCTCTATTAGGGTATGTCTACACCGCAAAGTTATTTCGAAATAACAGTTGTTATTTCGAAATAACTTTCCTAGCGTCTACACAGTCAAACTGCTATTTTGAAATTAATTCAAAATAGCAGAGCACTTTTTTTGAATTTGGTAAACCTCATTCCATGAGGAATAACGCCAAATTCTAAATAGCTAAATCAAAATAAGCGCTGTGTAAACGCTTATTTCGAAATAGGGGGCCTCCAGCCCTTTCCAGGGTGCCCTGATGGCCTTTCTGGGTACAACCAGGAAAACTCTTCTGCTCCCGCCCATCCCTGGAGCCCTTAAAGGGGTAGACTCTGGCCACAGCTTCAAGGCTGCCAGCATAGAGCCAGCAGTCTGTGTACCTGACCCAGAATGAGCCAGCAAGCCACTGGCACCCAGCCCTCCATAGCTCCCCAGGAGCAGACTGGCAGCTCCCAGGAGCCTGCCAAGGGCCGCAAAAGGCGGGTGCCTTCCTGGTCTAGTACAAAGATCAGGGAGCTCATTGAGGTGTGGAGGGAGGCCTCCAATGTCCACGATCTCCGCACTAGCCAAAGGAATGCGGCCATCTACAGCTGCATGGCTGACAGCCTGGCCACCAGAGGCCACATGCAGACCTGGGAGCAGGTCCGCTGCAAAATCAAGGACCTGCAGCAGGCCTACTCCAGGGCCTCCCAGCCAGGGGCTGACCGCCTCGGGGGAAGCTCCCAACCCGGGGCTGACCCGGACCTCTGCCCCTATTATGATGCCCTAGACTGCATCCTGGGGGGATCAGACAGTCTGTGCCCCCCAGGTGGTCATCAACCCTGGGGCAGAGGGCCCTCCCCATGAAGGAGGAGGAGGAGGAAGAGGAGAAGAAGGACAGCCAGGAGCCGCAGGAGCCTGGAGAGAGCATGCTCCGCACCCAGGACCCCCGAGCCATACTAGCAAGCCTGTCGCCGGTGTCATCCGAGGCCAGGGAGGCCTCAACATGTGAGTGCCATCACTGTCCCCTTATGCGGGACGGGGGGGAGGGGAGGAGAAAGAAACCAGGGACCATGCGTGTGAGCCTTGATGACCACGGAGCATGCAGCAACCTGTGCATGTGCCATGCCACCCTGCGCAAGTGGCCCTGGCTGGCTGCCACACAGGGGCCCTAGCCTGTTGCCAACACGTGTGTATGTATGAAGGCACATGACATTCTCCTGACCCTGGGGAGGAACACTGCACACTGCCCTCCCTCCAGAACCCCCTCTACGCAGAGGTAGGACACATCTCCCCTTCCTCCCCCACACCGACACTATATACAGCACAGGGGCAAGCTCACACTCCTGGGGATAGCAGGACATGATGGTGCGGAGACCTGCCATCCTAGCCTTGCAGAGGGGGGCTGGGCTTCACTCACTGTGTCCCCAGGGAGAACTGACCACTTCTTGTGTTTCTCCACAGCCGCAGCAGCTGTGAGTGCAGGGTGCACCACCCCGCCCAGGACATCCTCCTGCACCCGGGTCAGCAGGCTCACCCAGAACCAGGAGGAGTACCAGCAGCAGCACCTGGGGCTACTGCGAAGGCAGATTCGCAGTCAGGAGCACTGGGTGCATGAAGACCTGCAGCTGTGGCAGGAGAGCTTGAGGGAGCTACTTGACCAGGGGCTGTGCCATCCGCAATCACCTGCAGATCTTGGTGCAGAGAATGCTGCCTGCTGCCACTCCAGCCCCTGCAGCCACCCCAGCTATTATTTCTCCTCCCACTCCTGCTCCCCCTCCCACTTCTTCCTCCCCCCAACCCACCCTACCCTCTATCCCCACTCCGAGGGGATGCCAAGACCCCTGCACCTGCAGTGCTGGGAGACAGATGGATCAGCAAGACCCCTCAACCCTGAGCTTCTCCTCCCCCTTTCTCCCGTTGACTCCCCTTTCCAGCTCCCTCCTCCCAGGTTTCCCCCTCCCCTCTCCCACCCTCATTTCCCCCTCACCCAAGTTATGGTCTCCAGCAATTGCAGCCAGACTTGCAGCAACACATCCAAAATGAGCACCAGAGTTCCATGGGGCAGCTCTGGCTCCATGGTGCCGAGAGCTGTGGTGTCCTGAGTCAGGGCAACCAAAGCAGGCAGAGACAAAAATGCTTTGCTCTCCCTCAGCGAGGTAGGCAAGCAAGCAGGGAAATCTGAGAACCGGCTGTCCAGAGGGGTCCCTTTAAGCACAAGCCTCAGATAGCCTCAGGCAGCAGCCACACAAAGTAACTGGACCTGATGCCCTGATAGAACTGGTTTCAGCTGGCCTTAAATGTGATTCAGTATCTAATCAGCGCTGAAATAGTAAAACGCTATTTCGAAATGCATTTTGTGTGTAGATGCATTATTTCAAAATAACTTATTTTGAATTAACTTATATTGAATATAAGATATTTAGAAATAACGCTGTAGTGTAGACATACTTAGAGAAGGAGCAAGCTTGTAATTAAGTAAATAAGCTATTAATGAATCTATTTCAAAGATGAGATTTACTTGAGTTTGTGTGTTCATCTGAAAGTTAATCTGGTTTGTATTGCTCCTCTCCCCTAAAGAATCAAGTCATAATATTCTCAGTAAACATCACATCTAATTTTACTTTTGTAATATTGGATTGTTTCACACACCCTTTCCTTTTTTGAAAGAAGATGTTTCTGATTCATTGATATTGAAATATTTTTTAGGTAAAACAATATCACAATAACAAAAACACAATATTATTGATAGAGAGAAAATCACATATTTAAAAACAATAATAATAAAGCAACTCCTCTGTGGAACATACTGTTTTCCTTCACACCCATGAGTGTTATTATCTTATGATAATCATAGCTCTGTTCTTCATGCTACACTGTTTAACCTTCTAATATGACAGTAGAAAGGAGTGAACTAGCAACCTGAACCAGAGACTAACTGAGAAGAAACGTTTCCACCTAAATGCCCTGATGAGAGTAGGGGTGGAAAGCTTCAG